TGTTCTCAGGCTTGTGCTATAAACAATGACTTTATTTATATAATTACACGTGTTATTGTGAGTCAACCATAAAAGATAGACATATGCTATTGCGAAATATTTTTTAGAAAATTTTATGTAGAATATTTCTGTCATACATGATTTCTATGTAACTTTAACCATTAAGGCTGCACACGCGACGGAAGCTTAAAAAATGGAGTAACTTCTCCCGTTTTCCCAACATTTCCCTTCACTACTCTGCTGCTATTGATTATAGCGTGATGAAAAGTATACTATAACCTGCCCAAGAGTATGAAGAATAATTGTACCAAGTTTCGTTAAAATCTGTCGAGTAGTTTTTGTTTCTATAAGGAACATACACACAGACAGACAGACAGACAAAAAATTTACTGATTGCATTTTTGGCATCAGTATCGATCACTAATCACCCCCTGATAGTTATTTTGAAAATATATTTCATGTACAGAATTGACCTCTCTACAGATTTATTATAAGTATAGATAGGCAAGGTGTTTGACCAAAATCTCGCCTGATGGAAAGCGATGATGAGGCCTAGGATGGAACACGCGTGCCTAGAAGATGCCTGTTCACTTTGGCCTTGAAGATGTCCAGATTATATTGCCTTTGCCTCGCCGGGCGGGGTGCCGCCTGATGGTGGACCTTGCGTTCGACGTGGTGAAGGCCCCTCGGTGAGGTGAGGGGCATTGTCAGGTTTTTAGTGGGTAGGGCGCCCCTCCTCTCGAGCTGCTGTTGGGTCAGTCTTTGGATTGACTGAGCGGCGGGTGGGCGAGAAAAGTAGGGGAGAAGTCCCATATCATCATCATCATCATCGGCCTATTAATGTCCCCACTGCTGGGGCACAGGCCTTCCCTATGGATGGAATAGGGAGATTGGGCCATGACCCACCACGCGGGCCCAGTGCGGATTGGTGGGTGCTAACGACTGCAAATGCAGCCGGGACCAACGGCTTAACGTGCCTTCCGAAGCACGGAGGAGCTCGAGATAGTAAATTTTTGGTCACCCATCCAGTGACCGACCACTGCGAAAGTTGCTTAACTTCAACGATCGCAGCCGAACGCGCTAGCCACCTGCGCCATCGAGCTCCTCCCATATAACCTCGCCGAAGTCCCAAGGCGCTGGGGTTTGCGTAACGCATTTGTCTGACGTAAAAAAAAGGTTAAGGTAGCTAGACCGGTACACCTTCCTGCAGCAGCAGCTACTTTCTTAATCTGAATACCTCTTATTATAGTTTTTTGGGTTCCGGACCCATCTAAAAAAAACGAAATCCTTATAGTCTGTATAGTTGTCTGTCTGTCTGTCACGGTGGATTCGCTCGGAATCTACAAGACCGATCGAGTTGAAATTTTCCACGTACATATATGTATGTCTGTGACCGAAACACGGATGAATTTTAAAATGGGTGCCTCCCGGCCGGGGGCGTAGTGGAATAACAAAATGTTCACTGTGGCTGCATTCCGGCCGGAGGCATCGGGGAATGGGTGCGCCCCGGACGGGTGCGTCGCGGAATGGGTGCGTAACGGCCGGACCCATAATTTTCACCATTTTATATAAAAGAATACGAACCCGGTGCGGATTCTACTTTCGTTAGCTAGTAAGGCATAACCATTTCCCTAATAGGCGATGCTTTTGCATAGCGTGTGAGCATCGTTGCTTGATACAACAAGCATACTAGTGTGCAAAGTGCGTGGTTGTTGCAACTAGCATACGAACAATGTGATCAAGTACGCGGTTTATTGAATAGATGGCGTTGTTTTGCTATTTTGTTTTAATATTTTTCATTGAAGCCAGGATATGGTGCATATGCACTAATATTTATGATTTATAATAATAATAATTTAAAAAAACTCACAGCAATTAGCCTAGCCCCAATGTAAGCACTATAAGGCTTGTGTTATGGGATACAAGGTTAACGGATAGAATACGTATTATTATAGAAATAAATATTAAACATCCATGACTGGAGACAAAAATATAAGAACTCATTTACTAGAATACATTGTCAAAATTGTTAAAACAGCAATGGAAAGAAACAAAAGCTAAAAATATGGTTATTACTTACGAATAATAAAATATAACTAATACAAAATATACACTAATATATATATATATATCTACACGGATGTTAATTAAAAATGAATAAGATACAAAATATATAATAGGATATAAAAAGTCTCTGATTATGTCAGAGGTACTTGTTAATAAAAAATAAAATAAAAAAGACATCCATGACTAGAGTACAAACGCTCGTATTCATCACACTAACATCTGCTTCCACCGGGATTTGAAAGCGGGACCTCTCGAGTCGAGTACCATGAAACCCGGCGTACAAACCACTCGGCCACGGAGGTGGCCAGGTTTGGATAGGTGAACTGTATATAGTACGTACTGGACTTTGCAAGAGAATTCGTAAACGCGGTCTTAAGATTTTTAACAAATCCCTCGCCTTGGTATAGAGTTTCCCCAAAATCTATTCCTACATCGATAGTAAAAGTTTGTAACAGTTGGTAGGGTTTTCTTTTAAATCTTTTTGCCACTAATACATCTCTTATCTATTAGACAAGTCCGTCTGTCTTTGGTGCCGTTTCAGCGGCCGAACCGTAAGAGATAGATAAAGAGAATATTTAAGTTATAAGTTAAGAATAGTCTGATAACACTACAAACCGGATTTGAGTAACGTAGCACTTCCGGTTTTCGAGAAATCACGAATTTCAAACGAAACCACACAAAATCTCCGAAGTTCTCAATTATTTTTTTTTTTAAATCAGGTTTTGGTGAACATTTGGTTCACTGGTTTGCTAGTTTTTAATAATAGTAATTTATGGTCACCCATCCAATGACTGACCACTGCGAAAGTTAAGTTCAATGATCGCAGCCGCACGCGCTAACCACTTGCGCCATCGAGCACCTCGAGGGTATAGATGCACTGATTAATTTATTTATTTATTCATTCATTCATTCCATTTATTCGCATCCTTTTCATAATTCAGACGTCGCATCCTAAAAAAGATGCGAAACTAAATAAAACTAGTTTTTCATGGGTTAATGCACGAAACTTTATTTATTTATTGACGTTTCGTAGCCTTTACAGGCTTCGTCGTCAGAATAAAACTTTTATTTAATTTGTCGAGCTACCTTCGAAAGACTTTTATTGAGCATTCGGTTATTTCATTGGAAGATTTTTAAAGTTTAATTGTCTATGTATGAATTTACTTAATTTAGTTAATAAAGTATTTTATTTAAAATACTTTTTTGTAATTTAGAGTTTATTTAATTGACCCTAACTACCGTAAACTACCACCGGTTCCAAAATTGGGAGACCTTTCTCAGAAGAACCGACGGAACAAACTCAAGAGAGGCTTTCTATCTCCTTCTTATATTAAATTATGCATTAACCCGTGAAAAACTAGTTTTATTTGTTGAATGATGTGCGTGAAAACCTAAGAAACAAGAATGCGAAACGTCAATAAATTTATAAATCAGTGCATATATACCTTTGAAACTTGTTTTATTTAATGTTTTATCAGTTTCTTGTGCCTCCATCCATCATCAAAACAGACCATAGACATTTAAGGAAAGGGCAGAGATATTCCTTAAATTATACTTGCTTTCTTATTACACAGTCCCAAACTTGACTCTTATGTTTTGATATTTTTTGACTTAAGTGAGTAGAAGACCAGAATATTATAATGACAAGCACGACGAGGAGCTCGATGGCGCAAGTGGTTAGTGCGTTCGGCTGCGATCGTTGCGGTTAAGCAACTTTCGCAATGGTCGGTCATTGGGTGGGTGACCAAAAATTTATTATCTCGAGCTCCTCCGTGGTTCGGAAGGCACGTTAAGCCGTTGGTCCCGGCTGCATCTGCAGTCGTTAGCACCCACCCACCCACAAGGTGCACTGGGCCCGCGTGATGGGTCATGGCCAAATCTCCCTATTCCATCCATAGGGAAGGCCTGTGCCCCAGTAGTGGGGACATTAATAGGCTGATGATGATGATGATGACGTTTGACAATAACCGGAGAGACAGCATTGTGAATTTTCCATTCACACTCAAGCGCCTCTAATTTCTTATATCCTTTAAAAGAGGCGTGAAGAAGCAACATGCTGGCCGGCAAGGTGAGGATGGCTGGTGTGGCAGGTATCTTCGCGTCTGGACTTCACCGTCACTTAACATCAGGTAGAGCAGAATTGTTTGTCGGAGCTATATATAAAAAAAACCATCTTCATTGAACTAACGCTACGCTAAGGGGCTCCATGGGTAGGAGATGGGGTCAAGGAAGGTTCTCGTCTATCACGAATTGTAAATACTCACAGACCGCGTCGAAATTCCTCTAGCCATTCTTAAGCTGCAAGGCAGCGCCATCTCTTGGCATTATAGGTAACCCACAATGTCAAATGAATACTTTTACAAGTATTAAACATTTGAAAGAAGAAATAGAAATTATAGTTATAATTTTTATTATTTTATATAAATATCATAGAAGAAAAAAACAAAAGTAAATAATTGGCATCAACCTTTATTTTTAAAACCACAGCTTTACATTCCACGAGACCACGACTCAATTCCCTTTATTATTTATTTAAAATACACATCGATACACCTACAAATAAAGTATACCAAAATGCAACTCGGAAATACTCTATTTACAAACAATAAATAATAAATAATTATATTAGTCAATAAAATATCTATCGATAAATTAATGAGTATTCAGGCACAGTCGTTTAATAAATAACAAATAAATTAATATACCTAACTAGCCTATCATAGTAAGTTTCCCTCTTAATCTAAAATAAATAAAAACCCTTTTTAACAATAAAAAGTACCGTGAATCGACAATCACAGTCAATTATTGCTTTACCAAAACAAAAAAAAAAAAAGAGGTGGGCGTAAGGAAAACAAAAGAATAACTTCCCTGTCCCGGCTATTTCTAGTCTGGGCTGTGTTATATGGGCTTTTTCTATCCTAGCTTATCTTATCTTAGTCTTTCTTGTAAGCTGAGTAAGCCAGGTCCGAAACGTCATTGTAAGCCCGGCGGTCCCAGCCACCGCTGCTGCCGCCACCTGAAGACCAGCCGTGGCTCTCGTGGCCGCCGCCGCCACCGCCTCCCTTCTGGGACATCAGCTTCTTCAGAGCTATGATGCCGGAGAGCAGGAGAGCGATCTGTAAGAGAGAATTTGGGTTTCGAATAAAGATTGCTAGTTTTAGATTTGCGACAAAGAAATTCGGTGACTGATTTCTTTGTCGTACTATTCGTAAGTGGAATTCTTTACCCTCCTTCCTATAATCTGAGGTCCTTTAAGAGAGGCGTGAAGAAGCATTTTTGCAGGCCGGCAAGGTGAGGATCGTTGGTGTAGCAGTTTATAACTGCTGTACCAGCTATTGTTGCGTTTGGACTTTATCATCACTTAACATCAGGTGGGGTAGAATCATTTGCCTATCTCGCTATATAAAGAAAAAAAAAGATTGCTAGTTTAAAATTATTTCCTTTTAAGGAGGGCGGATGGTTCTGCGTCGAGAGTCAAAGCTTCAATTTCTATAATTTTTATGTTAAATCTGATTTTTTATGGTCACCCTTTGCTTTTGATTACAAAAAGCCCAGTAGATTACGCTATCTGATGATATCCTGGCTAGCCTGAGGCCTTACAATAAGCACTTAGATAAAAAGTAATTGGGACCCCTGATTTAATTAGCAATAAATGTTTGTGCTCATCTCATAAACAAGTCCTAACATACTTAATACCTGTAGACCTTTGGATAAGAAGGCAGAATCGTTTAAACACCATTGTACACATAAGTTCCACACTGCATTACTGCATACTTTACTTATATGTAACTTAAACAGGTTGTTTCTTCACAGTGGCGAAATTCGACATTACTCTAAGTTAATCTCGTACAGCTTAAATAGAAATAAGCCGCACGAGATTTACTTGGAGCCACATCAAAAGTTGTATTTAAAACGAGTAACAACACAACTTCACGAATTGAAAACGACTCAACTAAAACGTTGGACTTATAAGACTGCTCCTTAGGAGACAGTGTTGCCAGGAAATTGTAAGGGTTACCTCATTTATTCCCGATTTTATTTCCAGTGTTCCAATAAATTCTGTTTTGGTTTGTTCATATTTGTTTTTCGGTATTCGGTTTTACTTCAACTTGCGAAATCGTGCTCTGAAGATTATAAAGCTATAATGAAGATATACTGTTGAGTACTGTACACCTAGCACGAAACAATAATCGAATTCGTATCGTTTGCGAGTCCGAAATGTCATTGTCAAATGTGTACTGATTTTTAGTTCTCGTTACGTACTTTGTGCCGCTGCTGTTCAAGTTTCCATACAAGATTTAACATTGACATTTCGGTTTGCAAACTATTCGAATTCGATAATGGTTCGTGCTAGGGGTACTGAAAGCAGATATATTACATAGTATTAAGTAAGCGCTCAAAACCTATTCATTTCACTCTACATTTTTAATGTGAATGAAACCGACTGATTCGTGATTTTTTCCTATTCAGTTTAACTATTTGTGCTTCTAAACTTTAATTTCCAAAAAGCTACGGGTTAAAATCTCAAAAGGTGGTTTGAGATTTTAACCCGTGGATGTTGGTGCATTCAACATTGAGTTAATCTTAATCTTTCCCTAAAAAAACCGTTTGTTTCATAAATGAACGATCTTTAAAATACAAACCTAGATTATTATAATCATGTTTTTTGACATATTATTTGATTTTTATTGACATATTTACTAATTTTAATTATTGACAAATTTAATTTTATAAACGAATACCCATAATAATAATTACAAAATTAAACTAGTACTGTAAATAAGATCAATTGAGTGAGTTATAAAATTAATGAAATCAGATGACATTTATGCATGCTTTGAGAAAAAAAAGTTGTTTAATAAAAATTGGGTTCTTCATATAGATAATTGTTTATTTGTTAAATTCTCTTTTGTAATTTTTATCTATATTGCGATACCCTGACAGGGTTCATGTTAGGTACTTTATGCATTATGTAACTTGTAACCATCCGTGTAACCACATGAGTGCAATAAATTGAATTGAATTGAATTGAAATTACTGTTGAAAATAGATTGGTCAATTAGTAATTACCCAACATATATTTTTAGTTTTAAATGTTCCATGAATTTTCCCTGAAATATGGCTAAATTTATCCTGATACTAGCAACAATAATCCTAAAAGCCGTACGAGAAGCCAAGTGATGCGAATTCCAACCATATTGAGGAAAAAGTACGCACATGTGGTAAAACATATTAAATTCCATTAGTAAAGCTCTGCATTACGCAATATTTGTTCCTCATGACGTTGTCATAAAGTTTATTTTTGCATAAACTGTTTGTTGTTACAAAATCCTCAACATCCAAAGGAATTTCGGCCCTAATTGTATTGAATAAGATTGGTTTTATTGTTTTTGCTAGAGCTAAATATTGTACCGATTTACCGTATTTGATTAAAGCACATGATAACATTATTTTGTTTATTGTTTAGCGGTCAATGGGTAATGAATGTGCATTTTATTACAAACTTATTAACTAATGACGCTTATCAAATAGTTCAATGATTTATTGATTGTATTAAGTAGCTTTCCTTCTTATATTTTATTTTTTATTTAGGATTTATTAAAACGTAATTCTATGTGACTTTACCAATACACATTTTACATTAGTAGTAATTAAAATCGCATGCTTTTTGACTGACACAGCAATTCATGATGCTATTAACAGTTGTTGGTCCTTTAGGTTTTTATGAAATTTTCTTGCAAGCTCGATAGAAGCTAAAAAAGTTCACTCATCCGATAAGCAGCCACTGCAAAATTTGTTTAACTGTCTTAATCGCAGACCGAACGCAGTAACCTCTCAAGTTGCCATACAATTCTCTGATTGAAACTTATTTTAAACTTCTGAAGAACAAAAGAACATTTATTAAGTCTTATCAATTTAATTTTCCAGTTTTAACAGTAATGATTGGTCAATTTACTATCGACGCTCATGTTATTTTACGTGCCCATTTTTTATGGTATATAATATAAGAAGTAAGGCCAACGGTCGACATGGTCGTGTATTGTCGCCATATTTTTTTTATTCAAATTTATGTATTAAGAGTTTGTTACCATTTTTTTAATTCGATTTTACCTAAAAAGTTAAATTATTTGTTGCTTATCATTTGCTATATTTTAACAACGAGTAGTTACTGGAAAGTAGTCCAGATCTACTAGTTCTAATAACATTCCGTACCGCTTCCTACAACACTATTCGTTGGGAAATTTTCCTAAAGTTAATGAAATGAAAATGAAATATATTCTATTGGAACAAAGACAGCGAATACAGACTGAACGCCGAACCGAAATATTAACGGCGTTAATAGTTGCGACACAGTTTTTAAAACTAATGCAATAATTATCGTGTAAATTTATTGTATTCGCTGTCTTTGTTCCAATAAAATATCTTATATATAAAATTCTCGTGTCACAATGTTAGTTACCATACTCCTCCGAAACGGCTTAACCGATTTTAATGAAATTTTATATGCATATTCAGTAGGTTTGAGAATCGGCTACTATGTATTTTTCATACCCCTAAGTGATAAAGGTTGTCCACTCCTATTTTTTTTATAATGTGGCATTAAAAATACATACAATACAAAATTTTCACCCTTTTACTACCCACATTTTTATAGCGATATGAAGATCGCTGGGTCAGCTAGTATTTCATATAATAATTTACTTAAATATAAGTAAATTTAAATTAGAGAATGATTAAAATTTCATTATAAATGAACCCAGATAATTAGTTAAGCGCAAGAATCGTATTCCTTGCCAACCATCAGCTTTGAAACAATAAACATCAGCTTTTTTACAAATTAGAAAAAGATCTATATTGCAGTAGACAACATGCCTTAACGCTATTATTGAGGCTTTATTATTATCGAAAAGGTTATGATAATAGTTAGTAAGTATACTCAAGTATGTATAGGCATAGAAAGTTCCCTGGAGGGATCACGAACTGTCCCTAGGTTAAAAGGTTGAAGGGAAAGCAACGGAGTACACGGCATTTCTGCACTTACTCGTTGTATGTGCCAGTCGTAATTTCATCAAAGTAATCTTTGTCACGGTATGAAATCAATTACTTTTTTTTATCGATAACTTGAGACTATTATTGTTATTGGAAATAATGTTTTTGTTGGTTGAAGGTGATTTTTATGCATGTTATCAAAGAAATGTATCTGAATAATATTGAATGATTATAATTTTGTCGCAAATTCCTATAAATCATCAATTTTAAATTATAAATTTGTAGGCAGCTTTTTCATTTTATTGCCGCTACAATGCCAAATCAAAATTCGATAAAAAAAACTGAAGTTTTTTTTGTTTTTTTTTTTTTTATTTTGACTTTTTTGCTCAACCTCTGTTAATTTTTGTACAATGGTAAGGAACATTTGGTTTGCGTATCCGACGGGCACTGTCAGTTTTTACGCGAATATTTAAACAAAAGGAGTAATGCTTTTATTACCCGAATCAGAAAATGTTAACTTCAACTCAGTGCCTCAAAGTTAATATTCGTTATCATCCATCCTGCTTCGTATCTCGTTGAAACTTTGTTTTTTCTACGTTACAATTATGAAAAAATATCATATTGCCCGTGTGATAGGAAGCGGCCAACATATCCTTATTATGGTGGCCGCTATTAGAATATGAAACTTTTTTTTTTATAGCTAGGTCCGACAAATGACTCCACCCCACCTGATGTTAAGTGAAGGTGAAGTCCAGACGCGAAGATAGCTGACACAGCAGTTCTACCGGCCACACCAGCCATCCTCACCCTGCCGGCCTGCATGTTGCTTCTTCACGCCTCTTATAAAGGATCCCAGGTTGTAAGAGGGAGGGAATACGTGAGCGGGCAGAGCATTCCATTTACGGATAGTGCGACAAAGAAATGAGTCACCAAATTTCTTTGTACGCGTAATATTACACGCTTGATATATTTAAAACTAACTACACACATCAAAAGTGTCTAGGGATCAAGCATTTTTATGCGGATTTCTTGAGATTGAGATGTATGTGGCTTTGTAATAAATTTATGATTTTATAAATTTATATGGATCCTTTTTGGTGCATTTCATAATTTGAATCAGGAACTG